ACGATGGGTGAGAATTGACTCGATAGCAGTGGGTTGGTTTGGTTTGTTGGTAAACATACAATAATAACACACTGCCATAGAGTCAATTTGACTCATAGTGCCTCTGTAGAGCAGGGTAGACCCGCCCTGTGAGTGTCCAAGAGACTAACCCTATGGTTGTGGAAAGGCTGTCTTTCTCTCACAGAGTGGATGGTGGTTTTGAACTGCTCACCTTGCGGTTAGCAGTCCAATGTGTAACCATGGTAAAAACTCAAAATTCATTGACACAGAGTCCATTTCGACCGTATAGGACAGGGTAGAACTGCCCCTGAGAGTTTCTAAGACTTCAAGTCTTTGCAGAAGCAGAAAGCCTGCGTCTTTCTCCCACAGAGCAGCTGGTGGTTTCACACTGCTGACCTTGCAGTTATCAGCCCAACAGTAACCGCGATGCCACCAGCGCTTCTCTAAAGATAGATGGTAGTGCTAAATAAATAATAATTATGATGACAACACCACAAACATGCTCTGCGATTCATAATATTCCTTTTTAGATTTAGATGGGCTAACCTTGGATTAAAAATTATTTTAATGCAAACCAGTTTGGGGGCTAAGGGTTTTATTATGAAATAATTATTTGCAACCTGCTTTCTTAAAGAACCTAAGATCTCTTCACCCCCACCCTCTCCACTTGCTTCCTCTGTCATCGTGAAACACCCTTTCCCACTTGGACCAAGTCCCCAGAATTTCTCCCTGGTGGGCACGTCCAGCCTGAAACAAGCACGAAGGCATCGCACCTCTTTTACACCAGGGCAAGAGGTTAACACAGGAAAAGGCATGTTTAAGTAAGAATAGTGAAAACAACAACAAAAGAGAACACTAGAAATTTGGGGTGTGTGTGTAAGCATATTTAACTTTTTTTCCAGAGGAGATTTTAATGTCATGACTCTTAAAAGGCTAAAATATGTATTTATATTTATAATAAGTATATATAAAACAAAACTCACACTCAATGCCATTGATTATCTACTGACTCACAGCAACCATGCAGGACAGAATAGAACTGCTCCTGTGGGCTTTAAATTTTTAGGGGAGCAGAAAGCTTCGTCTTTCCCCCATTGAGTGCCTGCTGACTTTGCAGTTTTCAGACCAATTCAAAAGCCACAACACTACCAGGGCTCATAGATCGAATTTGATATATAAGTTTAGATGTATTTGATACTGAGCAAGAATGACGGAATTGCAAACAACCCCCGGTCAAGAATTTTCCACCAATAAGCTTCCCCTTCTGGCTTGTTTGTTGCGTCGGGGTGAATACGCCCCTCTTGGCTCCCTGTTGCTGCTGGTTTCAGTTGAGCTTTTGACTGAGGGCAGTCGGCTACACAGTCTAATGGTGCTCCATAGGGTTGTCTGGAAGCACCTTCCTAACCTCGTCTATGGTGAGTGCAGCTGGGTGGGCTCAAACTGCTGAGGGTTGGGTTAGTAGTCTAGGGCAAACCGTTGGCGCCACCTAGGGGCTTTCGCGTAGATGAAGGTCAGCAAAGGTTCAGTCTACGCGGGTTCCAGTTCACACTTACATATGTGTTCATTCCAAATACAACATGCTTAAATGTGCTCTGGGAACACACAGGCTTTTAAAACTTTGTGGGAAAGTTCCATTCTCTTTTAGTTCTCATTTTCCATGCATTTTTTTGACGCCCCTCACCCACTTTGGCAAATATTCACCCTCGATTCTGACTGACCCTATAAGTCAGGGTAGACTGGCCCTGTGAGTTTCTGAGACCGTACCTCCTTACAGTAGGGTAAAACCTCGCCTTTCTCCTGAGGAGTGGCTTGTGGTTTTGAACCGCTGACCTTGAGGTTAACGGCCCAACCCGTAACCACTGTGCCACACCAAACACTTAGGCCAGTGCATGAGCAGCTGCCCCCGTTGGTTTCCCAGCTTCACGCTGATGAGCATCCTTTCCTTTCACTTCCAGTCGGAGGCTTCTCCTTTGCCTCCTGCTGCTGCTCTCAGGAGCCCTAGTTTTGCTGCTCTTCCAGCCGTTAGTATTTTCGAAATAAAACTGGACCGAGAGAGAATGATGCAGCATTCCGGAGATAGGCAAGATTGACTCCTTCTGCCTACAGGCTGAAGTATCCACCGTGACTCAGTAAACATTTTTATTTGTAAAATCACATTAAACTCATAATAGGAAGTATATTCCGTGCCCCAACCAGTAGCATAGACGTTTGTTACGACTATCAAGACATATATGACAGACTATATGTGTACTTCAGAGTCTATATGTAAACTGGGCAGTGCAATTTCTTTGTGTACAAGAGGCAAGGAGGTACGTGCGGGAAGCTGCCGCAGTCGCTCTGTCCTGCTGTCTGACTGGGGTTTTTGAACTCTGTTGTAACCTTATGGGACCACAGGTATATATGCAGTTGGGTGTTTCCTGAAAGGGCATTACACAATATGTGACTCAATCGTGTGTCACATGAAGTCTGCTTGGGCAATGGGTACATGGCAGTTATGATAAAGTTTGGAAATGGCGTTTGGAGAATGGCACTTTTCTAACGTAACCTCCCAAAGAAAGAAAGCACTCTCCAAGTTGTTACGGAGCTGCCTCCCTAAAGCGAGGACCCTGCGAGGGCCTCTCTGAGCCAGGGAGGAGGCACTGGTGTTGTGGACTGGGCCCAACAAAAGCCAGCCCCTCTCAGCACAAGACAGTCACTGCGAAGCAGGAGCCGGTTATTCACTGAGCAAGGCGAAGGATGGCCTGACTTGCTTCACTGGCGATTAGTAAGTAAGCACCAGTAAGCCTGTGCTTCCGAGTATTCTGCTTCTGTCAGGGATTGCCCATTTCAAAGAGACTAGATGCTAGGAGATTAGGAGAGAGACAGATGCCAGCCACACCTAGAAGCAGACTCTTGATTTGGCGTGTGTTGGGAGGTGGTGGGGAGATTGAAGTTGTCCCCCCACCCCCCAGACTAGTAAGTAAGCGCATGTAAGCCAGTGCTTCCCTGGCTTCCTGCTGCTAAGGCACGGAGGTTGTCTGAGGAGGTTAAAGAGAAAGCAGGGATCAAGGAGGACACCTAGCTGAGTGGAATCAATGATGGTATAAGCACTTTCGGCAATGCTGGTCATGGGGCGAGTCCGTGAAGGAGGATGCCGAGGCAGCAGAAGAAGGTGTTGGAAAACTAGATAAATTAGGTATCCGCGCAACCTCCGAATCACATAACATCTTATGTCACAGAGTACATTGTGAACCCTGGTGGTGTGTGTAGGTTATGAGTTGGGCTGCTGAGAGAGCCATTCCCATAAAGGTTACAGCCGTGGAAGCGCTGTGGGGCAGTTTTCCTCTGTCCTGTAGGGCCACTATGAGTTGGATTTGACGCGATGCCAGTAAGTTTGGAGTTTGGTTGCGGTCTAATCGTGGACTGCACTCCCTGCTGGTACAATAGCAGTGTGTTGGGCTACAAGGTGAGCTGCTGAATCGGGATCGGCTTGATGGTCATGAGTTTGGCCCCACAGCTCAGTACTTGGGTGGTAACTAAAAATTTGGCTATTCAAACCTGCTCACTCCTCTTCAGGAGAAGTATGTATAAAAGCATTTACTTTTGTAAAGATGACCGCCTTGGAAACTGTGTGGGGCAATTCTACTCTGTCCTACAGGGTCGCTAAGCGATGGAAT